TAAATATAGATGGAGGGAGTGGTGAGTATATTTACCATAAATATGCATCCTTTAATGAATTTTAATATGTATTAACAATACTAAATAAACACAAGGTACAGATACACACAACTTCATGCAACAAAAAATGTAGAGATACACTCTGTATAAAACAGGCACCACAAACATCATGGATTGAAACTGGTATTAATATGAGCCTTCTCGTAGTATCACTTCTCAGGAATATGGCATGTATGCTGCCACGTTGACATACGTTCGAGATCCAGTCACAAATATCGTAACAACGATCACCAGTATGCACATAGACTATGCGTAATACGTATATACACTCCCCAACTGGGCAAGGCAGAGCTTGTCTGGTCAGCAGTACCCGCAGACCACGCCACTCGTCGTCTAGTGCTAAACCGTTTCGGTCTGCAACCATTTCAAAAATTTAATTAGGAGCTTAGTGGCCGATGGGATGACTAACAATGATTGATTGGGGTTGGGGGCTTCTCGACTACTAGGGCTTTCCTGGGCTAAGTTTTCTTTAGGCATAATTCCTATATGGTAATGAAACAAATCTCAAAATTCTAGGTGTCGACGCCCCTCCCGACACACTCTATAGCTATGCCGTTGGCTCACATAGAGGATGCCAAGGCAACGGCCCCGGGGTTACATCGGATGTTGTAGGTCGGCTCAAGCACACGTGGATTGGCAGCGGCCAAGTTCACGTTGTGGCATGGGTGTCCCCCTGATGGCTGTGGAAGTCATCTATGGTGGGAAGGCGACCCACTCTTTTGGTAATCACGGCCATGGGAACCACCCTATGAGCGTTAATTTCAGTTTTCTGACAACATCCATTAATCCCCCGGGCTCACACGCTCCTGCATCCAGCCCTTGATGCTTATCAATCTTGTGTACTTGAGTCCTTGACCCTGTCTCGTGAGCCCTTTTCTTGCATCCAACACTCCTACAAGTCTCACTGTAAGTGCCTCACACAATTGTGTCCTTGGTTCTTATTAGATCAATGAATCACATTGTACATTCGTTTTGAAATCAAGTTGTTTTCCCAATACCAAAGACCGAACCAAATTGACTGAAGACCAAATAAAGCAAATAAAGGAAACGCGAAGTTAATCCAGTTGTGGATGTGGAATGACTAGACAGAACAAACCGTACATACTAACGCCGAGACTTACACATACACTCCCTCCGTTCGGAATTACTTGTCTTGAAAATGGATGTATCTAGAACTAAAATACGTCTAGATACATCCATTTCTGCGACAAGTAATTCCGAACGGAGGGAGTAGATGGAGGGAGTGGTGAGTATATTTACCATAAACATGCACCCTTTAATAAGTTTAATATGCACTAACAGTACTAAAGAAACACAAGATACAAATGCACACAACTTCATGCAAGGAAAAACGTAGAGATACGCTCTGTATAAAACCGGCACCACAAACATCATGGATTAAAACTAGTATTAATATGAGCCTTCTCATAGTATGGTTCTCAGGAATACGACATGCATGCAGCCACGCTGACATACGTTCGAGATCCGGTCATAAATAGCGTAACAATGATCACCACTACGCAGTACGTCGATACACTCCCCAACTGGGCAAGGCAGAGTTCGTCCGCCAGCAGTATCCACGGACCATGCCACTCGTTGTCTGGTGCTAAACTCTTTTCATCTGCGACTGTTTCAACAATTTATTTAGGAGTTTGGTGGCCGATGGGATGACTGACGATGATTGATTGGGTTTGGGGGTTTCTCGACTACTAGGGCTTTCCTGGGCTAAGTTTTCTTTGGGCCTAATTCCTACATGATAAAGAAACAATTCTTAAAATTCTAGGTGTGCCACGTCCCACCCGACACACTCTCTAGCTACGCCGGTGGCTCACATGGAGGATGCCAAGGCAGCGGCCCCGGGATTACGACGATGTTGTAGGTCGGCCGAGTTCACGTCGTGGCATGGGTGTCCTCTGATGGCTGTGGAAGCCGTCTATGGTGGGAAGACGACCCACCCTTTTGGTAATCATGGCCATGGGCACCACTCTATGAGGGCTATTTTCAGTTTTCTAACATGATACCGAATCACTAGTAAGTCCTTAGCAACATACAACGTCCATTAATCCCCCGGGCTCACACGCTCCTGCATCCAGCCCTCGATGCTTATCAATCTTGTGTACCTGAGTCCCTGACCCCGTCTCCCATGCCCTTCTCTTGCATCCAACACTCCTACAAGTCTCACTGTAAGTGCCTCACACAATTGTGTCCTTAGTTCTTTTTAGATCAATGAATCACATTGTATATTTGTTGTGGAATCGGTTTGTTTTGTCAATACCAAAAGATAGAATGAATTAACTGAAGACCGAATAGAGAAAAAAGGGAAATGTGAAGTAAATTTGGTTGTCGAATATGGAATTACTAGACCGAATAAACCGTACAGACCAACGCTTAGACTTATACGTGTAGATGGAGGGAGTGGTGAGTATATTTATCATAAATATGCATCCTTTAATAAATTTAATATGTATTAGTGGTACTAAAGAAACACAACATACATATGCACACAACTTTATGGAAGGAAAAATGTTGAGATGTGCTTTGCATAAAGTCGGCACCACGAATGTCATGGATTAAAGCTTTGTTAATACGAGTCTTCTTGCAGTACCGCTTCTCAGAAATACGGCATGCATGTAGCCATGCTGATGTACATTCAAGATCCGGTAACAAATAGCGTAACGGCGATCACCAATATGCACATAGACTATGCGTAGTACGTAGATACACCTCCAACCGGCAAGACAGAGTCCATCTGGCCAACAGTACCCGCGGACCACGCCCCTCGCCGTCTGGTGTTAAACCCTTTCCGTCTGCGATTGTTTCAACAATTTAATTAGGAGCCTGGTGCTGATGGGATTACTGACGATGATTGATTAGGGTTGGGGGCTTCTCGACTACTAGGGCTTGTTTGGGCTAAGCTTTCTTTGGGCCTAATTCCTACATGATAACGAAAGAAATATCAAAATTCTAGGTGTGCCACGTCCCACCCGACACACTCTTTAGCTACGCTGCTGGCTCACATGAAGGATGCCAAGGCAGTGGCCTTGGAGTTATGGCGAATGTTGTAGGCTGGCTCATGCACACGTGGATTGGCAATGACCAAGTTCACGTTGTGGCATGGGTGCCCCCTGATGGCTGTGGAAGTTGTCTATGGTGGGAAGACGACCCACCCTTTTGGTAATCACGGCCATGGGCACCACCCTATGAGAGCTAATTTCAGTTTTCTAACCCGATACTGAATTACTAGTAAATCCTTAGCAGTAGACAACATCATTAATCCCCCGGGCTCACACGCTCCTGCATCTAGCCCTCGATGCTTATCAATCTTGTGTACCTGAGTCCCTGACCCTGTCTCGTGAGCCCTTCCATTGCATCCTACAAGTCTTAGTGTAAGTGTCTCACACAATTGTGCCCTTAGTTCTTTTTAGATCAATGAATCACATTGTATTTTTTCTTTTATGAAATCGGTTTGTTTTGTCAATACCGAAGACCGAACCGAATTGACCGAGGGTCGAATAGAGAAATAAAGGAAACACAAAGTAAATTCGGTTGTCGGATACGGACAACTGATTTTTTGGAAGACGATGGCTGGGCCGAACAAATCGTACAGACTAATGCTCAGACTTATACGTGTAGATGGAGGGAGTGGTGAGTATATTTATCATAATATGCATCATTTAATAAATTCAATACGCATTAACCTTACTAAAGAAACACAAGATACAGATACAGACAACCTCATGCAGGAAAAATGCAGAGATACCCTCCGCATAAGGCCGGCCCCGTCTCCTGTGCCCTTCTCTTACATCCAACACTCCTACAAGTCTTAATGTAAGTGTCTTACACAATTATGCCCTTTTCTTACATCCAACACTCTTACAAGTCTCAATGTAAGTGCCTTACACAATTGTGCCCTTTTCTTACATCCAACACTCTTACAAGTCTCGATGTAAGTGCCTTACATAATTGTGCCCTTTTCTTGCATCCAGCACTCCTACAAGTCTCAATGTAAGTGTCTTACACAATTGTGCCCTCGGTTCTTTTTAGATCAATGAATCCAAGATTAATTCAATGAATCATACTTCATATTTTTGTGAAATCGGTCCGTCTCGTCAAGAGACCGAACCGAATTGATCATGGGGCGAATAGAGAAAAACAGGCGGTTGGTAAATATGGAGGACTGTATTTTCGAAAGGCCAAAATGACCGAACCAAACAAACCGACTAATGCCCGAACTTACACGTATGGGCGGAGGGAGTAGTGAGTATATATTTACCATAAACATGCATCCATTAATGAATTTATTAATATGTATTATAACAGCACTAAAGAAACACAAGATACAGATACACACAACCTCATGCATCATCATGGGTTAAAGCCGGTATAAAAATGCAGGATCGCTCCTCAGGAATACGGCATGCATGCAGCCATGCTCACCTACGTTCAAGATCCGGTCACAAAGAGCGTAGCCAGTATGCACGTAGACGATGCGTAGGTACAACCCCCAACTGGTCCGTCCAGGCAGCAGGACCGGCGGACCACGCCTCTCGTGTCTCGTCGGCTGGTGCTAAACCCTTTCCGCCACCACCGCTGGCGCATCCGTCGTCCAGTCGAGCCTTCCCACAGCCCACGCGCCACGCCACCTACGCCTCAACTTCCCATCCATTTCTCCCTCTCCATCTCTCTCCCCGTCTCTCTCTCTCCAATCCGTCTCCCTAACTGCAGATTTGTCTCCCCTTTCGCCGCGCGCGGGCGGGGCGAGCTAGGAAGGAATCCTTTTCTCCTTTCTGTTCCGCCTCCTCCTCCCAACTCATCCGCCGCGCCGCGCGCCTCCTTCCCTTCCGCCGCCGCTAGATCCTTTTCCTCGCCTTTTCTTTCCTTTTCCCCCGCGCATGCACGGGGACGGGGTCCTGTGACCGATTCGCCGGCCGGTCAGACCAATGGGGGACGCGTCCACCTCCGCAGCCGCCCCCGCCACGCCCACCTCCACGCTCATCTGCCTCGAGGACGGCAACGACCTCTTCCTCGACGACGACGACAGCCCCGCCGGCGGCCTGGCGGACTCGCGCCTCGCCGCCGCCGACGGGCTCCTGCTCCTCGACCGCGACGACGAGTACGCCGCGCTCATGCTCTCCAAGGAGGGCGCCGGCGCTGGCGGCGGCGGCGGCGCGTGCGGCGAGGAGCTGGACGAGTGGACCAAGGCCGCGCGCGCCGCGTGCGTCGACTGGATTGTCAAGGTGCTGCCTCGCGCCGTCTTTTCCCAGGCGAAATTTGTCGTGCAAAACCGGATCTTTGTTCACTGGTTTCCATATGCGTGCTTGTTGGCAGACGAACGCGAGGTTCCTCTTCAGCGGGAAGACGGCGTACGTCGCGGTGACGTACCTCGATCGGTTCCTGGCGCAGCGGCGAGTCGATGTACGTACTGTAATAATTAATCACCCTGCGCCGCCATTGCCTTCCTCCTCTGCTCTGCTCTGTTCTGTAATGCCGCGCCGCCGAGTGTTCGATGTAATGCCTGACCTCCGCATTGCCGTTTTCGGGGGATCCAGCGGGGGAAGGAGTGGGCCCTGCAGCTGCTCTCGGTGGCCTGCCTGTCGCTGGCGGCCAAGGTGGAGGAGCACCGGGTGCCGCGGCTGCCGGAGTTCCGGCCGGACGAGTACGACTTCGACAGCGCCTCCATCCTGCGCATGGAGCTGCTCGTCCTCGGCACGCTCAACTGGCGGATGATCGCCGCCACCCCGTTCCCCTACCTGAGCTGCTTCGCGGCCAGGTTCCGGCACGACGAGCGCAGCGCCATCGTCCTGCGCGCCGTCAAGTGCATCTTCGCCTCCATCAAAGGTCAGACCAAAGGTTCCATTCCATTAATCCACCGGGTCGAATCGGATCATACTAACAAGAGCTCTCGTGTGCGTGTGCCCGCAGCGATGAGCTCGGTGGAGTACCAGCCGTCGACGATGGCGCTGGCGTCCATCCTGGCCGCGCGCGGCGGCAGTGAGGGGACGGGGACGGGGACGGGGACGGGCCCGAGCCTAGAGGAGGAGCTCAAGGCGATCCTGGGCTCATCATGGCAGCAATTACACACGGTAAGCCCCCATCATAATAGCCCCGCCCTTTTTGGAAATCTGTTGGTGAAAAGGGGCAATGATGAGTAAATGCTCTCCTCCGTGGCACAGGAGCATGTGTATTCCTGCTACAGCCTGATGATCCAGGAGGAGGACAGGTCCACGCAGTCGGGCAGGGAGGTGGCGGCTTCCTCCGGCGTCTCCGCGGCCGCCCCCGCCGGCAGCCCGGGCACCTCCGTCGCCATGGCCGACGACAATAACGCCATTGCCACCGCCTCGGCGGACAACAATAAGAGGAGACGGGTGCATTCGCCTCAGCCTCAGCGCCAGTAGGAGGAGCTGGATGGATGTTTTGGCCGGAGTTCAGCTCGCTGCTGATTTCTGTCGCCCCCCTGGCCTTAGCCCTTTTTTTCATTAGCTCGAGCAGTGATTTTGGTGGTGGTGGCGGTGGCTAAATAGGGGGCAGGACTTGATTCTTGTGATTGTGCAATTATTGCAGCTATTATTGCAGCTGATTGGTAAGTTAGGATCGGAAAGATTTCGGTTTTCAGGAGATGTTTCCCGTCCCAGGCTTAAAAGGGCACTGTAAAGACGATAGAGAGAGGCAGAGAGAAAGGCCACGCAGCAGCAGTAGCACCCAGCTGCAAAGAGCTCTCAGCTCAGCTCAAAGTGAGGTGAAAAGAAAAGAAGAGAGAGAGCAACAAAGCCTAGGCAGCATGAGTGGGGGGAGCCATTTTTTTCCTTCCTTTGCGTATGTGTGTGTGCGTGGATGGTATGGGAGCTAGCTGGACCTGTCCTCTCTTCCCGTCCTCATCTGGGCACTCCATCAGTGAGCAGTGGCAAATAATACAGCAACAGTTAAGCCGATGTTCATTCATTCAGATGATGATGATGGCCTGGTTGTTCGGGTTTGCTCTCTGTTGGGTCATGCCATTTTGGCTCATTGCCATTGCCATGCCACGCTCTTGAGATGCCGAAACAGAGTGTGCCCTCCCCTCATCTGCCAGCCCCGTGCGCACTTGCTGCTTGAGCAGTGGGGGTGGGCGGTTGGGTGCTGTGTCTCGCTGTCATTTGCGGGTGAAAGCAACTGTGCCCTCGCTTGCTAGTTGCTCGCTCTTTTGCTATGCCTATGCTGTGATACCTACCACTTACTTCATGCCTCCTATATTGTTGAGCCAAGCCTCTAACCCACCTTGTCCTAACAAACCGTTGATTGGCTATGTTACCGCTTTGCTCAGCCCCTCTTATAGCGTTGTTAGTTGCAGGTGAAGATTGAAGTTTGTTCCTTGTTGGAACATGGAGATGTTGTTCCTTGTTGGAACATGTTTTACTTGTTGGGATATCACAATATATCTTATTTAATTAATGCATCTATATATTTGGTAAAGGGTGGAAGGCTCGGTCTTATGCCTGGTGTTTTGTTTCACTCTTGCCGCCCTAGTTTTCGTCATATCGGTGTTATGTTCCCGGATTTTGCGTTCCTTACGCGGTTGGGTTATAATGGGAACCCCTTGACAGTTCGCCTTGAATAAAACTCCTCCAGCAAGGTCCAACCTTGGTTTTACCATTTGCCACCTAGCTTTTTTCCCTTGGGAGTCGCGCATCCCGAGGGTCATCTTTATTTTAAACCCCCGGGTCAGTGCTTGTCTAAGTGTTGGCCCAAGCCAGAGCACCGTGCGGGGCCGTCCCTTGGCAACTTGGGTTACGTTGGCTCTGAGAACGAGATATGTGCAGCTCCTATCGGGATTTGTCGGCACAGCGGGTGGTCTTGCTAGACTTGTTTTACCATTGTCGAGGATGTCTTGTAACCGGGATTTCGAGTTTGATCGGGTCTTCCCGCTAGAAGGAATATCCTTCGTTGACCGTGAGAGCTTGTGATGGGCTAAGTTGGGACACCCCTGCGGGGATTTGAACTTTCGAAAGCCGTGCCCGTGGTTATGGGCAGATGGGAATTTGTTAACGTCCGGTTGTAGAAAACCTGAAGTTGACCTTAATTAAAATGCATCAACCGCGTGTGTAACCGTGATGGTCTCTTTCCGGCGGAGTCCGGGAAGTGAACACGGTGTTGGAGTTATGCTTGACGTAGGTTGTTCTAGGATCACTTATTGAGCCTACTTTTATCGACCGTGCTTTGCCTTCTCTTCTCGCTCTCATTTGCGTATGTTAGCCACCATATATGCTAGTCGCTTGCTGCAGCTCCACCTCATACCGTTACCTTACCCATAAGCTTAAACAGTCTTGATCGTGAGGGTGCGCGATTGCTGAGTCCCCGTGGCTCACAGATACTTTCAAAACCAGCTTGCAGGTGCCGATGTAACCGTGCAGATGACGCAACCAAGCTCAAGGAGGAGCTCGATGAAGATCTTGTCCTTTGTGTTGTTTCGTACTAGTTGATCGGTAGTGGAGCCCAGTTGGGGTCGATCGGGGACCGTGTCGCATTTGGGTTCTTCTTTTATTTTGGTTCCGTAGTCGGACCTTGATTGTATTTGAATGATGTAATGCTTTATTCATGTATTGTGTGAAGTGGCGATTGTAAGCCATCTATGTATCTCTTTCCCTTATGTATTACATGAGTTGTGTGAAGATTACCTCACTTGCGACATTGCTTTCAATGCGGTTATGCCTCTAAGTCGTGCTTCGACACGTGGGAGATATAGCCGCATCAAGGGCGTTACACTGGCATGGGTGTCGGCCGCTGGCTGTGTGCCGGCAAGAAACCTATTCATTTCGGAGGTTGGTCGTGTTGCCGATGAAAAAACTATTCATTTTGTAGGCTGGCTCTATTGTCGGCCGATGGCTGTGTTGCCGACGAGGACGTGGAGACGGTTGTGTTGCCGGCGTGAACTAGGGCCGCTGGCATGAACTAGCACGTGGTTTATTCTAAAATTTAGGTTTAAAAAGGGAGACGGACAGAATGCGTCCATGCATTGGACGCACGGCCACCGCATCCCAGAAATGGTTCAGACACGACCTCATTGCCCGCCCCAAACGAATAGAATCCGAGTCAAACGGACGTCCGTTTGAGGTCGTGCGCTGGAGTTGCCCTTACTGCCTTTGCTCGGCTGTCTTGTGCCTGGCTGGCAGCCGGTAAAACACACACACAAAAAAAAAAAAACAGGTCGGCAGCTATTGGCTGACGCTGTTGGAATTTTATCTATCCCAAGTGGCCGCTGCTTCCTGCCGCCTTGTGCTTGTGCTTGTGCGGCAGTAGGAGTTGTTGTGGTACACACGATGCTTGCCTTGACTGGTCAAAAACATTTGATACGGGCGCCGGGCGACAGCAGTGATGGAAGCAAGCTGCCTCTGTGTCAATCGCCTGTGATGCGGAGATAAGGCTGGGCGCCAAAAGAAGCTAACCGCCAATCCCCCTATGCTGCTGCACAAGCACCCCCACTGTTCTGTTCTGCTCAATGCTTACGACGGTGGCATTTGGATTGCAACAGATCCCTGGTCAAAGTGGCAACTTCCAAAGAATCACGCTTCAGTGACAGTCACACCGGACAAGAAGAATGATTGAGATTTTCATCAAAAAATTTGGAGCTAAATTTCTGGCACTGGACGTCAAACAGGCACAAAGATGGCAAAAAGGAACAGATGTCTCAAGTACTTTAGGTTGGTGCAAGCTTATATCAAATGATGCATATACAATTTCAGGTTCCAACATAAACAACATGAAAAAATAACTATCAAGGGTCTATTAAAGCACTTTTGAAGAATCGAGCCCACAGTCTTGGCTCATCCTCTAAAGATCAAATGCAAAAGAAAAAGAAGGCCATAGATTCAATTCACCTAGATAAATAAAACGGATTAATAACAGCAGAAAGAAGAGTTTCTTATGCTCACCACAGCGCCCAAACTGCGTTGGCATCGCCGTCAGCCTGTAGTCCTACCACCTCACTTCAGTTCCTGACTGCAAATTAGCTGGCGTCTCCTACTGAGAACCCACCGGGAAGAGCTTGACTATCGCGGCGATGGGCATGCCTATGAAGCCGATGACAATGCAGGAGAACCACTCCCTGAGCGACAGAGGGGTGGTGTTCGCAAAGTCGCCAAGGAACTGTACTATGATGATCTGGAATACGACCGTGCTGCCGAGCACCGCGACAAACACGTTGTTGTCTAGAATGCCTTTGAATACATTTATCCTCTCCATCTCTCTGGAGCTCACCTCGTTGAACACCTGCATAACGAAAACTTCAGCTCATTTTCGCACACTGTCACCCAGAAAAACTAGTATGGTTCTTTTTTTCATTCAAAATTATTATTTGGTAATGAAGTCGTCAGACTTTGTTGCCTTGGTAAGTGTTCATAGTTTGCCATATTATGATAGTGACAGAGAAGCATTATAGTCCTATTAATAAGGATGCATTCATTGTATTTCTTGTATTTAGTATTTTTGCTGAAACCAGTGCCTGGTTGATAAATAAATGGCATTATTGGAGCGGGGAACAGTGAAATCCTAAAAGACTCTTTCGCAGAAATCAAATGAATGCAATAGAAACTTCGACTTACCTGGCAGAACACAAAGCAATTGAAGATGAGCGTGTTCAGGACTAGATCGGAATTATCACCCTTAAGTTCAAACAACGTCTTTCCTTCGGTCTGCAGATACCAAATTACAAAGAACTGGTAGATTGCCTGTCCCATGATGTTCCTCCACATAATGTTGCTAATGAAGTTTCCTTTCCTTCCAACGGGAGTCCTCTTCATCAGTTCATCGTTTGGAGGTTCTGTGGCCAATGCCAATGCTCCGAGTGTGTCCATGATCATATTGACCCACAGCAACTGAACAGCAGTGAGGGGAGCACTCCCTGAATTGACAAGTAGAAGTATGAAAAACAGTGAAATGCACCTCACAAAATAAACTATGGAACTAAAAATTTGCTACATTAATATAGTTTCCAGGTGTAGCTTATCTTAATACTGTCTTAAAGGAATATTTGTATCACAATTTATGAGTTAAAAACTTGAAAAAAACATGTAGCAGTTAGTTCCATCAGGAGTTGGTTTATGATAATAATTGGAGCATGAACCAGCACTAAAGGTAACATACAAAATGACTGATTAGAATTCAACTGTAGAATGTTATTTTATTTTTTACAGAATCAAGCTGATGCGGTAAAACCCCTCCCTTTAATCAAATGAACTGATTTAGTGTTCAGTTCTTGAAGGTTATTCAATTTTTACAGAAATCAGCCTATGTTCTTTCTTTACAGGTTATTGCCAGCTTAAATGAGCGCATCAAAGTTTCAGGTATACCTGTCAAGCAGGCTGACGAGAAGTTCACAACGAGGGCAACCACGTTGACTGTCAGTTGAAACTGCACAAACTTCTGAATGTTGATGTACACAGATCGACCCCATTTGGCAACTGTGACTATGGTGGAGAAGTTGTCATCAAGAATGATGACATCGGCACTCTCTTTCGCAACCTTCAAACAGATAGCAAAATGAGGCATACTGGAACTAAATAAGGAATGGCTTGAGTGGACAAGTAATTGACTGTGCAAATCATGATGTACAAGGCCTTATAGATGCTGCAGTGGCATAATGATAGATCATAAACATGCTGACACACTACTAGGTAGTAGTAATTACATTGGAAGACACTCGATGAGTCATAGCTAGGCATGTCAAAGAATTTTATAGTATTTTATATATTAAATTGACATGACTATTTTTCCCCATACAAGAGATAATATTAATAATTTTTGCTCTGTGAAAATACCTCAGTTCCAGCAATGCCCATCGCAAGTCCAATATCAGCCTCATGAAGTGCAGGTGCATCATTTGTCCCGTCACCAGTCACCGCAACAACTTCTTCATGTGTGGTCCGGAGATTCTTCACTAAGGTGTGCTTGTCAAGTGGTGAAGACCTAGCCATTACCTGATATGATACATATAACAACAGTATGTTGACAAATGAAATCCAGAAATGATAGGCAAGATAAATGGCAACAGCAGTAAACATACCTGTATCTTTGGTATCAATTTGAACATTTCTTCTGCACTCTTAGTTCTAAAATCTGGGCCTTCAATGGCAAGACCACCTTCAGTCAGAATGCCACATTCCCGGGCAATTGCCTTTGCTGTGTTAATGTTGTCGCCTGTGACCATCCTGACAGTAATACCGGCTGACCTGCAGATGGCGACGGATTCCTTCACACCCGGGCGCACTGGGTCTTTAATCCCAACAATGCCAATGCATGTGTACCCCTCTTCAGGAATCGCATCATTAGCTGAGAACCCTTGTGCAACTTCAATGTAAGCAAGGCACAGAGTGCGAAGTGCCTCATTTGCAAAGCTCTCGATCGTGGCATTCAAGTGAGCAATAGTTGCACTGTCAAGGGGGACGGCATTGCCTTGATCATTCAGGTACTTGCTGCAAGATGCCAATATGATCTCTGATGCACCTTTGCAGTGAGCACGGAATGCGCCCCCTGGCAGCTGGATGACCACTCCCATTCTCTTCTTCGCTGAGTTAAATGGCTCGACTTTGAGGAGGGTGGTTGCTTTTCGCACTGCCTGGAAATCTCCACCGAGTGACAGGCCAAGCTCTAGAATTGCTGTCTCTGTTGGTGTGCCCAGTATTTCGCGTTTGCCATCCTGGTTGATGACAACATCGCCACCAGTGTTGTTAAATATGGACTGCGAGAGCATTGTCATGACAGAATCCGGTAGCTCAGAGAATAAGCTCTTGGTGTTTGAAGATTTATCCACTTCTTTAATTTTGCCACAGATGCAAGCCTTGACGACAGTCATGTGATTCGTTGTGAGTGTGCCAGTCTTGTCGCTGCAAATGGAGGTTGCTGAGCCCATGGTCTCACAGGCTGCCAGGTGTCGGACAAGTGCCTTGTCATTCATCATCTTCTTCATGGCAAAAGCAAGGCTCAAGGTCACGGCGAGCGGTAAGCCTTCAGGAACTGCTACGACAACAATGGTAACAGCAATAGCAAAGAACTCAAGCAGCTCCAGTGCATCATCTCCACTCCAACTCAAGTACGAGCCATCCATGATCTTGCGTCGGAACAGGCTTTCAGTGAGCACTGCAAATGTGACAACAGCAAAGACGAGGCCTATTTTGCCAATGATGGTTGCAACGCCGTTCAGCTTGACCTGCAATGGCGTCTCATCATCCCCTCCTTCACTGAGGGTGGCCATGAGTTTACCCCATTGAGTCCTCATGCCGACTGTTGTCACAAGCATCTTGCAAGAACCATCCTGCACTTTAGTTCCTGACAAAAGGAATGGGTTCTCGGCATTGACAGCAACTGGTTCACTCTCCCCAGTCAGGCTTGATTCATTAATCAGCAATGAGAATCCTGATACGAACAAACCGTCAGCTGGTACTTGATCACCAATGGAAAGGTGCACAATGTCACCAACGAGAAGCTCGTATATCGAGAGCTTCTGCCGGTACCCACTCCGGGTGACCTGCACCGTGATCTTCTTCTTCTCCTTGTCAAGGTCCTTGAACTGCAGGGATTGCCGGTAGTCGCTTGTCGCAGTGACAAACACAACCAGAAGAATACTAGCCACGATGCCGAGGCCATCATGCGCGCCCTTGGGCCACCCCTCGGTGGCAATGCCGACGACAAGCGAGAAGAAGGCACATGCAGCAAGGATCATGAGTGTCATGTCCTGGAGCGCCTCCCAGACAAAGACCCAGAAGCTGCGGGCCTCCGTCTCGGCGAATTTGTTGATGCCAAAGATCTCCTGCCGGGATGCAAGCTTGTCCTTGGATGTGCTGACGCCATCCGACTCTGAGGTAGACACCTTTGATAAGAGGCCCTCAGTGCCGCCATGTGCTTTCAACTTCTTGATGTCGTGGCTCTCGACAACAGAGCTCAGTTCCTCAGCACAGATGCCATAGCCTGCTGCCTTGACAGCAGCAGGGACTGTGTACTCGCTCTGGGGAGCGAGGCCTGTGAAATTGTGTTGGTGGTAAGATTGACTGGTTGAAATCCAGAAGGAAAGGGATAATTATTGTACGCTCTGGTATCATCATACCATGGATGAACTGAAGCGCAGCCTTTGAAACAAGCACAGCAACACGCAGCTTCTCCTGAAATAGGTATTAGTGTGGAGTCAGTCTCAAGAATAACAACTGTTCTCAGATTGCTTGAAGCTGAACATGGCATACAGATGTACTCCCTCCGTTTCTAATTATAAGATGTTTTAGATATTGCAATATGGACTACATACGGATTAAAATGAGTGAATAAACACACTAAAACGCTTCTAGATGCATGCGAATCTGAGAAAATAGATAGAGAAAAGCTAAAACATTTTATATCTAGGAACGGAGGGAGTAGTAAAAAGCACCAGAGAGAAATGACAGTTGCAGCAGCTATAACTAGAATCCACTTGTTTATTGAAGGGCAACTTTGTTGGTTTATAACTTTATATTCACAGGAGTTGCAGCAGCAAAAAAACAACTCCACCAGATCTTCTATATCTAAATAGCTAGCCCCCACTAACATATTTCTCTCAACATGCAAGCATGCCACATCATCAAGCAACATGCATGGCAAAAGGCCCACCACAACATGCATTCATGCACATGAAAATGTCCACCTCAACATGTAAACATATATTAGATATTTTACAATACATTAATCAAACACAATAAAGCATATGGATTTGCAATTTTAGTTTTCGTAGTATCACTATTCACGTTTCATAGAAATCACATATCATCGAAATGTATTGCAAATATTCCCGCAACAACGTGCGGAGTATCATCTACTCCCTCCGTTCCTAAATATTTGTCTTTCTAGACATTTTAAATGACTACTACATACGGATGTATGTAGACATATTTTAGAGTGTAGATTCACTCATTTTACTTCGTATGTAGTCACTTGTTGAAATGCCTAGAAAGACAAATATTTAGAAACGGAGGGAGTAGTATTTAAAAAGACGACAACCCGTGGTCAGACCATCAGAGAAGACCAAAAATATAGGATTGTGTTCTTCTAGAATAAAATAATCCATAATGGAGATTCCCTTTTTTAACAAAAAAGATCCGCTAGAAGCATCCACGTCACGCAATGCTGCGTTTTTCACAAGGCTCTAGGCCTACTTCATTCATCTGATAATTGTTCTAGCAAATGGCAAAAATCAACTACGGCAAGTTTGATACACTACATAGAAATCCAAAAGTATATAGTGCAGGAAAAGTAGTAACTTTTGGTTATATTTTACTACATACGGTATCTTGATTTTCTTAACAACAAGGCCTATTCTGAAACTTTTGACATACGTGCATTAATGACAGTGATATAATTTCACTCTAAACAACACAGAATAATAATTACAGACTCGCTCCAAACAGATGCGTCGAACAACTATAGGTGCATTGCAGATCAAGATCTGTGTATATTATTTGCCATTGCCCTCTCAGATGTCTAGTGTCATGGCCTAACTAATGTTTGCTTTTTGGGACGAACCTCTGCATCACAATTTTCTGATAAGAAGGTATATGCTCTACTACCAACTATGGCATGTGCAGCCTGCGCTTTCTATGCGTGCCAACCAAAGGTTGGGGGAAACGCCTGACAATGGCAGGCGCGAGCGACCGCGACAGAAAACAATACATGAGAGATGCAAAAGGGCGAATTAAATTGATTCTCTTCTAGAGTTCTTGGTTCTCCAACCAAAAATTAATTCTCCGTTCCAGAGTTCTTGGTTCTCCCTTTCGCAAATAAAAAGAAAGAGTTCTTGGTTCTCCGGCGAAATTACTAGTACCGTAGATGGAAATCGAGGACGGGGAGGCGTATGTATGTGCGTGCGTGCGTACCTGGTTGGTCCGCTTCATGGCGGCGGCCTCGGAGCGCTTGCCGAGGTTGGCGGTGAAGCGGAAGCGGCGCTTGGGGTTCTTGACGACGCCGACGACCTTGCGCCATCGGCCCAGCGCCTCGTGGGACGAGTGCTTGGGCTTGACGCCCCCGAAGTTCTCGTTGAGGTAGCTCTCCATGGCGCGCGTCCCTGCTTGCTCTCCCTGTCAAACCAACCAAGGAAGCCCTCTCCGATCTCCCACCACCACCACCAGCTCCGCCGTGCCTATATATTAGCACGCGGCTCCTCGCACCGGCATTTTCCGGGAAGGAAGCGCGTGGGGGGCCGTCGTTGACGCGTCGTGGGTACGTGGGTCCGACTCCGGTGCGATACTTTCATGGAAGTGGCGGTATTCTGTCCTTGGGGGTGGCCGATTTCATGGAAGGTGGCGAGTTTTTTAGGTAGGAGCGGTGGTGGATCCGAGCGAGGGAGGAAGAGGGGAGGCGCGACGTGTGGGAGCGAGCGAGGGGAAGGGAATTAAGCGGGTGCTTTGCTCTGGTTTGGGGAAAGGAGCGTGGATTCAGGGGTCAAACGGAACGGGTCTCCGGGCCGATGAACGCTGCATGTCTGTCTCTCTGCGTCTGGCCCATGATTGTTGCGGGAAATTTACGGTGGGTTCGGCGAGTGGGACGGGAAAGCAGGGGAGACGGGGACAGTGCTGTCCACGCGCATGCTCTTCAAGTTCTGCTTTTCACCAAACAATTTAACAATTTCTTTTTTTTTGTTTGCGAGAAAATTTAACAACTCCTTGATTGTATTTTTTCTAGAAGCGTCCAGTCTATTTATCAAACATCGTGACAGTACAAAGAACATGAGATTAAAAAAAATCAAATCCATGTTCGTAAACTACCTGACAAGGGCAACAAGCGCTGGAGCGAGCCACAGAGCATAGATAGTGAGGAAGTAGTCGTGTCAAGACCCCAAAGGACCACACGAGAGCAACAACCGTCGTCGATGAAGAAAAGCATAGATCGAATGGGTCCAACCCGTGGACACATGAACGCAGACGAACGAAGATCGACAAGGATGGGTATGCAGATGAAATGGCGATAATGCAGGCGGTCCTTGGAGACCCGGAGCGTGCAGAAAGAGCATTTTCTTCAATTTCAAGGGATTGATCAATGGTCACCGAGTGTTGAATCGGAACAGGGCACAAGGGCATTTCATGTTAATGGGCGACTACTTTACCCATATGCCCTATTTGCACACAATTTTCGCCGACCCTTTCAGATTCGGGGAAATGTGTTTGATGGTCTTTGCAATGGTGTCCAGGCCTACCATGCTAATTCATCTTGAAGAAGGATGTCATAGGAAGAACCGGATTCTCTGGTGCACGGTTGCACTGCGGATGCTTGCATATGCCATGGCCACAAATTCATTGGTCGAGTACCTCCGGAAGTCTAAGAGCGTGTACGAAGACTCAATGGTCAGATTTGCTATTGCAGTCAGAGTGTCTGGACCTTGGTACTTGAGAGAACCAATTGTTACAGACACCGAAAGGCTCATGACACTCTCGGAAATAAGAGGATTGTCATCGGATCTCTTGATTGCATGCACTTCAGATGGAAGAACTGCCCATATGCTCCACAATGGCAACATCAGGGCCATGTTAAGAAGCTCACCATCATTCTTGAAGCTGTTGCATCACAGGACCTCTGGATTTGGCAATCTTTCTTTGGCATGTCTGTTTCTCGCAATGACATCAATATATTGCAGCGGTCTCCATTGTTTGCTAGGTTGACAGAAGGACAAACTCCTCCGTGCAAATATATTGTCAATGGGCATGACTAATACGTGGCTAGTACCTGGTTGACAGTATCTACCCTCTATGGGTGACTTTCGTCGAGACCATCTCTGTGTTAGTCGGTCAGGAAAAAGCTCACTTTGCCAAAGGACGAGAAGAAGCTAGAAATGATGTGGATAGGGCATTTCGAGTACCCCAAGTCTGTTTTGCAGTTGTTTGAGGAACTGCAAAAATATGGGATCCAGAGACCTTGTAGGAGGTGATGACATGTCGTGTTACCATGCACAACATGATCATGGAGGATGAGGGTGAAGATCCTATCGAGGGTCTGGAATTTGAGAACATGGGTGATCTTATCCAACTTCCACGTCAGAATTCAATCATATTTGATAGGTTTGTCCAATTAAATCAACAAATTCGGCATCGAGCAACTCATGAGCAGCTTAAGTTTTGGCGTTCAAGATGCCATGAGTGCGCGGGCTGGGACGGAAAAGGAGCGGAGACTCAAACAGTGCCTTCGGTGGCGTTTGTGGTCGCACAACACATGTGTTTTAGTTCCAAGTAAAAAAAACAAACTGGGGGTATCCTCAAAGTGGACCTTTAAATCGCCCGTATACATCTGGATTGCATTGTTCCGACGCAGTTTGCCATCCAACAGCGCCCCGCATCGGTCCATGGACCAATCCCCTTGTTCGTTTTCCCAAAAAACGGAAGCAAGCTAAAGGGGCTTTGTGGGAGTATGGACCGTCATCACGTGGGACTCCGACACCCCAACCCACCAAAAACCACACATGGACCCCACGTCTCCATTTGTTCCCTCCTTCTCGACATCTTCTTCCTCCCTTGCCGACGTCGCCACTCTACCGCCCTAGCCCCCCGATAATCCATTTCCGGACCTCCACCGCCTCCGTCACTCCACTAGATAGCCACGCCACTGGTCCACACCTCTCGTCCGTCCACCGCAGGCACCATCCGCCCCTATGGGGGGTCACTATGCCTGACAAGTGTTTGGTAAAATGGCGGTGATAATATTTTTGTCCCTTCTGTGAAGCAATGGATTCGGGCATGGAGTACATGTACGAGCACTGTGTTGAGTTGTCCCACGTGGAGAATTATGCGGATGAAAGGGCGATGATGCAGGCGGTCATTGTAGGCGCTAACGTAAGGAAGAGCATGCTCTTACTTTCAAGGGATCGACCAAGGTTCATCGAGTGCTGAATCGTAAGGCATTTGACAATGTGGACGACTACTTTGTCCCCAATGCCCTATTCGCGGACAATTTTTGTCAGCGCTTTCGGGCAAATAAATGTCTTCGATCACCTCTACAATTGCACCCTGTCCTACGATGGCTACTTCATCTTGAACAAGGATGTCGTAGAAAGGATTGGATTCTTTGATTACTATAAGTGCACGACTGCATTTCAGATACTTGCATATGGCACGGCCGTAGATTCGTAGGACAAGTACCTCCAGATGTATGAGAGTACATGCAGAGACGCCATGGTTAGATTTGCTACTGCAATGGTCGAGGTGTTTGACCTTAGTACTTGAGGGAACCAACTGTCACAGACATCAAGAGTCTCTGGGCAATGCCCGAAGAAAGAGGGTGGCCAGATTTGCTCAGATATCATGTGATTCCATGCACTGAAAATGAAAGAACTACCCCAAAGCTTTTTTTGGCATGCTCCGGTCTCATAATGACATCAATGTGCTGCAGTAGGCTACATTGTTTGCTAGGTTGACTGAAAAGTAAGCTCCTCCTTGCAACTATACTATCAATAGAAATCATTACAACGCATGGGCCACTATCTAGTTGACGGTATCTATCCTCCGTGGGCTACCTTCGTGATGACCGTCTCTGGGTCAGTTGGTCAGAAAGATCTCAGTTTGCCCAAAGGTAAGAAGGAACTAGAAACAATGTGGAGAGGGCATTTGAAGTGCTCCAAGCATGTTTAGGTGCTCGTGGATCCGCAAAACATTGAGATCCGAAGACCTTATGGGAGGTGATGACATGTTATATGATCATGCGCAACATGACCGTGGAGAATGAGGGTGAAGATGTTCCTAGAGTCTAGATGTTGCTAGAGTCTGAAATTTGAGTACATGAATGATCCTATACAATTTCTAGATCAGAATCCAGCCACGTTTGATGAGTTTGTTCAAATGCAGCAACAAATTCAACATCGAGCTACTCATGAGCAGCTGGAGGAATATTTGATTGAGCATCTGTGGGCGGTTAAAGGGGACGATTAGAACATATGTACGAGTTGAATTCAAGTTGACTATTTATTTTAAATTTTAGTCGGATTGTAATATTTGAATTAGAACTATTGGCGCATTTGAATATTTTCACTAATCAAATATTTTATATGCTATTATTTTGAGCTCGTGGACTTAGAAAAAATAGAGACGGACATTTAGGGGACAATTCGAACATATGTGCGACTTGAGTTTAAGTTGGACTATATATTTGAAAACTTAGTTAGATTGTAAAATTAGAGTTAGAATTACTGTCGCATTCGAATATTTTCACTAATCAAAGATTTGATACACTATTATTTTGAGCTCGCAGACTTTTTTTTTTTTAGGAACAGACGTCTAGGAGACAAAGTTGGATGACCATCTCCCATAACACTGTACGCGGACCAGTCCAGACCAATCCATAAACAAATACAGTGTGTGTCGGAGATGCCCTAATTCCTAGCCTGAGAATGATGGCATAAACTTGTGAAGAATTTGTTTGATTTGCAACTTTGTGATACTTTCAAACGTACTAGACTCCGTCTGAACTTTCGGCATGCAAATTTTTACCCAATTCGTTGAGCTTTTCTGTCGACATATTTTGACTTGGAGAAATTATTATTACTCCCTCTGATCCAAATTAATTGATGCATGCTTACTACAACTTTGTAAAACCTAAATTATTATTATGTAAATTATCTCCATCTCGTGACCTGCTATCCTCTTGCGTCGCCCCCTCGAGGGCGACAATGGAGGCCTCAACCTCCGACGACAGCGACCCCCTCCCTCCGTAGCCGTCGGTGGTCGGCATCGGGCAAAGCCCGTTCGTGTGACTGCGGCGACTGAGGGCCTCTCCTCCCTCTCCCGAATCCACGGGCAGCATGGGCGCGGCCCTCCGGCCGGCGCTTGGTGTGCTGGTGGTGGGCTTCAATCAAAGGTAGGAGAGTGTGGCCGGACATGGCTAGTGGTGGCAGTGACGTTCATCCTAGATCCCGAGGCGGTGACGCTCGGTGAAGCTCAGGCGGTCCTTAACAGCATGGTGTGGTGGTGCCATGTCCAAGCGGAGTTGTACCAACGATCTTGTGGCTTTGGCTCCGGCTGGTTCGGATCATCGACTATGACGAGCAGGACCGGGATCCTTCTCGGCAATCTCG